AGAATTGTTATCTGTAGACTGAAGTCTGTAGATAAATTTGGCTCATTTTCTGGTCTTTTCCCTAGCCCCTAAATGGAGGCAATGTTCCATATATCCTGTGTGCAAGTTCTTGAGGCCACTTAGCTCACTTTAGACATAATCTAGAAGGATCTTCCACTCTGGATCATGTTCTGTTCACACATATACTTCTCACGTCATGCATTTCACATCCATTCCCATAAAAGTTTTTGGAAAGGAAATATTGCAGTCTTACCTAAGAAGAATCTGACATTCCTGAGCTCGGTAGAATGGATTACAGAGAAATTGCAAACTAGAATAAAGTCCACTGTGGATAAGTTCTTTAATTCCTTGTGTTATGGCTCTATCAGGAATATAGAACATGCTTATTGCTTGTAACCATTTGCTTAACAAAAAGTTTGTGTGTTGAATGAACTAGACAGTTTTTCATCTGTAAAGACAAATTACTTAAAATCAGACATTCAAATAAAGAAATTAAGAGAGGAGATTATGGAAAACTTTTCCATTTTAGCCAGGCATTTTAAAAAGTTTAATGGTAGGCAATAATATGATAAGTATTATAGAGGTTAGCAGAAGTCTACAGAATTTGAGCTATGTTTATGCTACGCAAAATAAGAATAGTGTCTTAGCACAGATGCTGACATTAGCTATGAAAAAAATCATCTCCCCTGCTACTTCCCCCAAAGAAAGGAATTTATAAGAAGCTGTTTGTGTGCAAAGATTAATGCCTGTCAAGAAATACAAATTATTATGCGTAGTACATCAGAAAAAAATGGTTCGGTCTAAATTCATCCTGGAGGTAATTCTATCACCTACTAAAGACTCTTACCAATAATGTATAAAGCCTACTCATTGTGAATATCTGTTATGTATACACTATCACTATTTTTCATATAAATTTTTAGTTCTTTGTGAAAATATTTGTACTTAATAGCTGCTTATGAAATTTCCTGTGAAATTCCTGACTGCAAATCAGGTACATTAACCTCACACCTTCACCAGCCTATGTTTGGTCTTGTATGAACCTGCAGTTTCAGGATTTTCCTTTGTATAAACTACTTGACACCATCCGAAAACAAAAGTAAAACAGCTTTTAAAAATTTGCAAAAGTACAAGAAAGGACAAAGTGTTATCCTTATGAAGTGCTCTGTCATCACAGCTGGCATTATCTAGGCATTTTTCAGTTTTATTTAATTTGCAGAAATCTTGTATAATTATACGTCGATATGTTTGCATAGGTGTTAACTGAAAAAAACCAACCAAACAGTACAAAACATTTCATGGAGTGTAAAGAGCTATGAAGTACACCAATGACAACTTTTTTTTATAATATAGTGCTTTTTTCCCCTTAAAATTGTAAATTTTGCCTTCTTTTACGTTTAGCACATTATAATGCATAGCCATAACTACTTGTGAAAGAAAATAGAAAATTGTCATGCTCAGGAATTATTTAATTTAAAGTAAATGCTGTCTATACACTGCAGTGACCCAGATTTGAATGTGTGAAGACTAGCATGGGGCTTTGACTTAGCAGCATGGATTGCACAGGGATAATTTTGGAAAAGGTACTGAGATGCCTGTATGCATTCTGTTAGATAGAACTGTTTTAATTAAGAAATCTTTTAGAGATAGAACAGTAATGTCAGCTTTTGCACTATCTCAAAAGCACAGAATACTTCCAATTTACTACCTGGTGCCTGATATATGAAATAGAGCCATAATCTCACAGAACTGAAGGAACATTGTTACTCAATAGGAAAGAGGGGGAAAACAGTTAATTTTAAAAATAATAATTTAATAATGAATTAAAACAGCTCAATTCACACTCCTCGGGGGGAGAAAAGGAAGAAATAAGCAGAGTTTTGAGCTTTTGTAACATTACACCTTAAAAAAAATTAAAGTTCTATTTTTCAATGGAGAATTAAATCAGCATTTTTTAGCCATTTGTGCTGGTCTGATCTGGGAAGAAGAAACTCAGAGGGAAGTTCTCTCTAAGTGAGCTTCCTCTGTGGGAGGATGGGACACCTTCAACAGCCAAGTGGAGAAAGTTAGTTCGCTCCATGAACACACATTTTGAAGGAGGTAATCCGGAACTGAGTCTTTGTCTTTCCAGCAGCAGTGCAGGTCACAGGCCCGGCCTGGCCCCACTGCAGGCCTTGGGGCTGGCAGGGGCAGGGCCGGGCCCTGTGTGGGGAGCTGGCATGGCCCGGCAGGGACCAGGGGTGGCCATGGATGGTGGCCAGGGAAACTCAGGCTGATTTTGGAGATCCTGGCAAAGCTCCAGCATTGTAGCCTTGTTTTTTTTTTTTGTTTTTTTTTTTAATTTTCCCTGAGTGAAAGGGGAAAAGGAGATATTCTGAAGTCAGTGAAGCAAGAGCTGAGGTTTTTTTAGATGGAAGGAGAGTGAGGAGATGCTGTGAAGATGGCTGAAATGTCCTTTTGTAAAATTGTAGGTATGAATTGGTGTACTGAATATTCCTATAAACCATGGAGAAAGACATGGGGGGTTGGAGATGTTCCATTTGATACACCATTTGACCAAAAAACACCTGTATTGAGAATCTTTTGCCCAAGGAAAGAAGGGGATCTCGGTTTTCTGAGGATGAAGCATGAACAGAGAGAAGAGATTAAAAGAACCTTTGCTGTGGAACATTTCATTCTTAAAAGTAATACCACATGAAACAGACATGGCCACATGCACAGCTCTGGGAAGGCTGTGGAGCTGGGAGGAGTGTCAAGATTGCAGGGTTCCGGGTGGATGCAAATCGTGAAAATGAAACCACGAGAGGACTGCTTTCTTCCTTTTTGTGGAAAAAATCCCTATAGCCTAACAAGAGGAGGCTTCTCTCTCTCTGAAAGTGAGCTGAAAAAGGACTGTTTGAGTTGGGAACTGGCCAAAATAATTTTTATATGTTTGTTTTGTTGTTACAAAGGTTGGGAGAGGGAAGGAAGGAGTGGTCTGAAAATCTTATTCTGAATGGGTTTTTTTCCCTCTTTGTGTAGTTACTTAATTTCTTTTTATACCCTCTTAAGTTTTAGGCCTGCCTTGCTTCTGCTCCTGGTTCTGTCTCACAACAGAAAATCAGTATATTTAAATTGGCACATCAAAACCATGATACCATTGAAAAAGAGAATAAAAATATGGTAACCCTATTTCTGTTAAAATCTCTCCGTGAGTAAGATAAACGCCAGGATTTGTACCCTGAGTCTAGGATTCAGTTTCCAGGTGCACTTGATCAGATGCTCAACAGTGAGCACCTGAATGGCCCCACTGAACCAAATGCAAGTATTCGTAAGCTTTATGGCAGTTTGTTTTTAACTACATACTTCAGTACTTTGTGGGTAGAAGTCTCAAATCCGGCTTCTATGTTAGACACTCTGTGTCTAACAAATTTTGGATTATTAAAACCCTTCTTGTGCTGTTGATGACCTTGCCTGATGGGCAGACTCTATTGACTCTACTGAGGACAGTATGGTTCCCTCTGCCCTAAAAAAAAAAAAAAATTATTGTTGCCTAAATACTCCCCAAATATCAGAGTGTCTTTTTTATGCAAAAGGTAATGTTTTGTTTTCCAAATACCAGAATTAAATAAATTTAAGCATAGAAGTAGAATAAAAGATAATAAAATAAATTAAAATCAGCTAGAATAAACAAATCAAAGGCTTTTTACTTAGAAAATATATTACAAAACTGAGTTCGGATCTCAGGTATTACCATTTGCATTCAAACTCCATAATAAATGATTTATAGAACAGTCTTCATCTTCATGTATATTTAAAGTGCTGTATAACTAGAAAAGATACCTTGATCTGTAATTGTTGTGTGTGAAGATCGATCCATTGGGATGAAGGTATAAGGTATCCCACACTTTCTGTTGAATAAATGAGAAAGGCAATGGTATGTGCCTACCAAAGCAGCCAAAAAGTTAGAAAGTGTCAGCAGAACAGCCTAATAAATTGGTGTTCATAGAGGCACAAGATGAAGCCTAGGGAAGGGCATCCCAAGGGATTTAATATTTATGCAAGTCTTCTGACGGAGTGACTGCAGAGAGGTGGGCAGTGGTCATGGAAACAATCACTCTGCCAATCCTTATTTTCATAGAAATACAAAAGTCTTTCTGTTTTATGCTCTGCCTCTCTATCCTCCTCCAAAAGGAGATCTGAGACTCGAGCTGATTGACAGAAAGGTTATGTGGTTGTATTTCTTTATGTGTCACATTTCTATAATAGGTTAATAAATCTCATACACCCTCCTTTCCTTCATGGAGTGTTTCAAGCCCTATTGATGTGTGCGCATTTTTTTCTTAATATTATTGTGACTAACTCCCAAAGCAATGCTGTTATTCCTTTAAAGCTGCAATATTCAGCTGAAACTAGAGGGAAAAGTATATTTTTTACAGGTGTCTAAAAATATTCAGCAAGTAAGTATAGCACCAGGCACAGTATTCTACTTACAGCTCAGCCTATTACACACCACAAAGAACTGATGACAGAAAATCTAAGACTTAAAATATGGCATAGAAGATATCAATGTAAACAGGTAGTGCTCAAAGAACCTGGAATTTATTATACTTTATACTGGAAACACAAGTTGGATATACCAAAGATCACTGAGGACGGATTACCTTTTCTCTCATGTTCAGGTGGAAATTTATCATACCTCAAATAAACAATTTTAAATATAGAGAAATCTTAATTAATAGGAAAATAACAATCTTCCACTTTCTTTGTTACTGCATGCTTCCATTGAATATCACAACTACCTGAAGTTAAGAATAAATCAAAAACCAATGCCAGGTTTTTGTAAAGTCCAAAATGCAGAATTATTAAGCACAGCAAAGATCCTGCAACTATTTTCTTTTTATTAGGATATCAGTTTCCTATTAGCTGTAAGTTATAACTTTCTCTCAGGAATTCTGCAATTAATGGTGGTTTTGGGTCACAGGTATGGCAAGACTTTTGTTGCCCACAGAAAACTGTTAAGTGTCTGAATCTCATGGCCAGAAACAGTGTCCAAGGGTCAGGACTTCCACTATCCATATCTGTCACTGTCCTTGCTCTCCTCTACTCCCAGCTCACCCGGTTATGATAACCAGGTTATTATAAAAATGCAGCACATGGTTGTACTAGGCTAATGTCCTCAAAGTGTCAATATGAAGTGTCCTAGAATGAAAGGTTTATAGAAGAGTAAGATGTAATACATATTCTTCTGATAAATAGCATTACTTCACTTGCTTAGGCATAAATCAATCATTTAAAGTATTGATACCAACAAAAAACAGCACAGTTAATCTGTAAAAAGACCAGATGCAGGAATACCAGGTTCAGGGGAAAAATGAACTCAAAATAGGGGAGCATGTAGGCTCTAATTATTGCCTAGTTACCATTTTCATTTTCTGCAGAATTATTTTGTGAGTCCCTAGGAATTATTTCATCACCAGTTGTGAATGATGTCACTCCATTTATGTGTGATCTCCTGTATCAGTTCCAGGTCAGCTGCACTGAAGATGTACATCTCCCATAGACTCAGATGAAAAGAAAAATTTTCTCTTGTATTATGCGTTTGAATGACGTAAAGCAAGTCATGCTCTTCAAAGATGTCTTCTGTATAATTCAAAGCAAAAGGAAGAGTTCAAATTGGATTTTTGACAGAAACTTCTTTTTAAAGAGCCCCTTGTCTGAAAAGACTGTGTTCACAAGGCTTTCCAACATATTTTGATGTCATCTCACATCAGTATTGACAGTGTTTTGACTGCTGCAGGAAAAAGAGAACAATTCACAGTTCTTCAGCTAGATTTTATTGACACATTTCACTGTGCTTGGAGTATTAATGAGAAAGAAAAGTACTGAAGACTTATAAGCCTTCCCTGTATATACCCTGCTGACCAACAGCCTTTCTTATGGTAGCATGATTTACTAAAAAAAGAGAAGATATTAATGGGAATCAGAGTAGCTGCAACACAAATAATCATGGAAGAGTACAAAAGGTGACTTGTGCTAAAATTTGGTTTACAGCCCCTGATTTCTTTCTAGTCTGTGGGTTCTTAGTGGTGAATCACCAGAAAAGATGTGGTGACATAGACAGATCTCACAAAAGCATGCAGCTGTCCAGCTGTCAGGCTGCAGGTCGTGCCAGAGCTTGGCACTGGTGTTGGAGGGCAGTGGAGACAATGGCTGTGTGAGGTGAGACCAGACCAGGTGGATGATCTGCTCAGCCTAGTGGCAGAGCTAAGAGAGGAGATAGAAAAGTTAAGAACTATCAGGGGACTCAGAGCAGAAGGCTGACTGGTGGAGCCATTCCCTACCATCCTGGAGAACATGCTTCAGCCAGCTGCATCACCAGAAGAGAAAAATCCCCTATCTTCTGAAGGAGGGGACCTAAAAGGGCAGGCCAGAAACAGGGCTTTAGGGGTGACAAAGACACAGTGATCAGATTTCTGTTAAGGGTAGCAGGTGAATCCGCCCCCAACCACTAAGGTGCTCTCAGCATGTATGAGGCCCAGACACACAACAACAGAGATGAAGGTGCAGCCAAGATGTAGGCCTAGGGCTAGTCAGTCTACCCCCATCTCAGACAAGATAAAAAGAAGGATTGCTGTCATTGGTGACTCCCTCCTGTGGGGAACAAAAGATCCAGCCTAACAGACCAATGGGACCTAGCCCATGGAGAAGTCTGCTGCCTCCCTAGGGCCTAGGGTAAAAGATGTTTACCCAAGTTTCCAGCTGGTATGGCTCTTTGATTATTATCCATTACTGGTTTTTTTCAGATGGATGATAGAGTTCTAACATGAAGTCTGAGGACTACCAAGAGGGACCTCAATTGTTCAAAGATGACTGACAGAGATCTGGAGCACAAGGGTGTTATCCTCTATTCTGCCAGTTACAGGGAACAACAGGGTTAGGACAAAGAAAATTGTACATATTCATACTTGACTCTGAGCTTGGTGTCACCACCAGAATGAGAGGTTTTGATCATGGATTGGTTTTGATCAGTCTAATGTCTTGGTAGAAGAAGAGGATGGAGATCCATATGGCAGCAAGAAAACAAAGGTTAATGATATGCTGGAAACTGTGGAAGCATCTGAAAATGGTCATGCAGTTTTCCCAGTGAAAAACAGTGGGATCAATAGCCCACGAAGTTCATTTACACCAATGCATGTAGTATGTGCAACAGAAGGAGCTGTAAGCCATGGTGCAACTGAAAAACTATGACATAGTTGCCATGATAGAGTCTTGATGTGGTAAGTCACACAGCTGGAGTGCTCCAATGGATGTCTATAAGCTGTTTAGGAGGGAAAAGAGGCAACAGAGTAGTTGTGTATTATAGGCAGTATTTCAATTGTCTAGAGATTAAAGATGGTAATGATAGAGTTGAGTGTTTGTGGGTAAGAATCAGGAGATGATCAACAAGACAGACATCCTGGGGTGATTCTGTTACAGACCAGCCAAGCAGGATGAAGAGACAGAAGAAATATTCTGTACACAGAGGGAGAAGTCTCATTGTCATTAGCCTTTGCTTTCATGGGGGACTTCAACTTTATCAGATGTCTGCCAGTAACACAACACAGTGGAGAGGAAGCAGTATAGAAGGTTCCTGGAGTGTGTGGCAGAGAACTTACTGACACAGCTCATGAGTGACCCATCTGGGGGAGGCACATGCTGGACCATTTGCTTTTGATCTGAGAAGGACTAGTGGGTGATGGGGTGGTTGGAGGTCATCTTGTACCCAGGGAACATGAAATGATGCAGCTTCTGGTTCTTGAGGAAGTAAGGTCAGCAAAACTGCCATCTTGGGCATTCAGAGGGAAGACTTTTTCTGTTTGGGACACTGAAAGGAAGTCTCGAAGAGCAACAGAGTCTAGGAATTTTAAAAATTATTTAAGAAGGAAATATTAAAGAGGCAGAAGCAGGTTTTTCCCATGTGCTGAAAGATGAGAGAGCAGGGAAGAAGACTGGCTTGGATATAGAGAGAGCTTTGGCTGGCACTCCAGGGGAAAATAAGATTGTATCACTTTTGGAAGAAGGAACAGGCATAACAAAATGACTACAGAGATGTTGTGATGTTATGCAGGGAGAAAGTTAGAAAGGTGAGAACCCAAACTTAATCTAGCTACTGCTATTAAAGGCAAGGAAAAATATTTTTATCAATACATCAACAGCAAGAGGTCCAAGGAGAATCTCCATCCTTTATTGGATGTAGAAGAGAACATACTGACAAAGGAGGGGGAAAAGGCTGAGGTACTGGAATACCTACTTTTCCCCAGTCTTTAATAGCAAGACCAGTTGTCTGTGGGGTACACAGCAGCTCGAGATGGAAGAAGGAGGTAGAGAGCAGAATTAAGACCCCATAACACAGTATGTAGGCTCTGCAGAGGGATCTGGACAGGCTGGATTGATGGACCAAGGTCAATTGTTTGAGGTACAAAAAGACCAAGTATTGGGTCCTGCCTTTGGGTCACAACAACCTTCTGCAGTGCTACAGGCTGAGCACAGAGTGGCTGGACAGTGACCCAGTGAAAAGGACCTGGGCAAGCTGGTTATCATCCAGCTGAACAAGAGCCACAAGTGCTCACAGGTGGCCAAGGCAGCCAAGGGCATCCTGGGCTGTATCAGAAATGGTGTGAACACCAGAAATGGTCTGCCCTGTACTCGGCACTTCTGAAGCCACATCTCAAGTTCTGTGTCCATTTCTGAGCCACTCACTACAAAGAAGACATTGAGGTGCTGAAGTGTGTTCAGAGAAGGACAACAGAGCTGCAGAAGGGTTGGAGCACAAGTCTTGTGTGGAGCAGCTAAGGGAGCTGGGAATGTTTATCCTGGAGAAAAGGAAGATGTGGAGAGACCTCATTATCCTCTGCATCTGTCTGAAAGGAGGTTTTAGTAAAGTGGGGTTCAGTCTCTCCTCCCAAGTAACAGGAGACAGGAGGATAGGAAATGGCCTCAAGGTTTGCCAGAGTAGTTTTAGGTTGGATATTAAGAGAAAATTCTTCACTGAAAGTGTGGTCACTGGAATAGGATGCCCAGGGAAGTGGTGAAATCACCACCCCTGCAAGCGTTCAAAAGGTGTGGGAATGTAGAACTTGGTAGCATAGTTTAGTTGTGAACATAGTGGTACTATATTAATGGCTGAACTGAATAATCTCAAAAGGTATTTTCCAGCCTTAATGATTCTATGATTCTAATTCTGCAGCACTGAGCAAAGAATGTTCTCTATTTCATGCTGGCACTTTTACTTTTCACTCAGAATGAACAATAGGTAGGTACTGTTTGAAAGCAGTGTCTGATGTAATATCACACAGAAATTGCCTTGATCTGAAGTTATGTCAATCAGATAAAAAAGCTTGAGAAAATATAAAATAGAATTACACTATCTTCAAAAGCAGAATACTTTTATGTATAAATCATAGAAGAAAATTAATAAATTGGAATATACATATTTTCTGAACACTTGCTTCCAAAATTCCCAAATTTAACCATGGAATTTTTCCCCTAATCTTATTTACCCTGTGCAGTCAACTCTTCAGATACTGAGTAGGCTGAAAACCTCTCTTCAGAAACCAGGACACTTGGAGATACCAACAGTCATCAACAACATGAAAAATGTATGGACTTCATATGTATCTGTACATATGCACACAGACATACATACAGACTCAAAAACATATACATCTATATGCACCCAAATATACATGTAGTAATTGTGTCAAGACAAACACGACTGGCACCACCACAAGTCCTTTATTAAAAACCTTCCATGCCTTCTTTCAGGCAACTCCACACAACTCTGACTCCTTTTCCCACAGGCAGCTCCATACAGCACTGACTCCTTTCCCACCTTCTCTCTGTGTGTTTCCTTCTTCATGACTGTCTAACCCCTACCTGCCCCTTACCCAGCCACCTAACCCTGTCCATCCCTCACACAGCATCTTACCTTGTCTGTCCCTTGCATAACCACATGTCTCTTCCTCAGCACAGCCAACAGACTCCAACTTACTCTTGACCAACTAAGCCACTCTTTTATAACACCCATCCTCACTGGAAAGGCAAGGTTGTCTCCCCTCCTCAGTAATCAGTACAGCTGTAATTCATTGAGGAAAATTGCCTTCTGCACTGTCCTTACAGACTATTCTCCTACATATACACTCAGTACTCTATGCACACTAGTTACTGAAACTGATATGTGCTCGAGACCATTATTTTGCTGTTTACTGTGGAAAGTCATCAAGTGATTAAGTATATAAATGCTGATATAGTACAGCTATCTACAAGAAGCTAGTACTGGTGCCAACTAATCTCTGGTAGCGAGAAAACACATTACAGAGAGTTTTAAAAGTATTTTTCCAGTTTTAAATGTGAGAATTTTTCTAATGTTTAATAACAAGTCCCAGTTATATGGACAAATGTGCATTCTCTATCAATTTATGAGAAAACAGATATGCAGAGGGTTTTTGCCTTTAAATATGGATAAAATTCAATGGAAACAATTGACATAGACTGGGCATTTCACCACTAAACAAGCAGCCCAGCTGGCAGCAGGACAAAAGGTAAAAGCAACGGTTGCTTTCATTGTGGGGAAAAAGAAAATTTGTGTGTACTCAAAGTCATTAGGAGTAAATACTGTTATTACACTTCCCCTAAGAAAGATTCTACAGAGGAATTCTTGCAGTAGTATTTGTAATGCCAAAAACCCCTTCTTAATTTCATGCACGTCCTCTCAAAATTTCAATTTCACACAAGACCTGTCCTTTGGGCCCAATATCTGATCCATTATAGCAGCCCATTACACCATATGCTGTGGGAAAAGATGCCATAGCTCTATAATAGGCAGATGCAGGATAATCTGTTTCCCCAGCTACACGGTTAGAGACTCAGAAGGGTGAACACTGCAACAATATCTTGTGTAAATAATCAACATAAAATTCAGACCATAGAGAGAAATTATTTAAGGTGACTTGTACGCTAACATTTACTGTGTGTATTTAGGCCGTTTCCCTGGTTCTGTTACAAACATCTGCTTTAGAATGAAAAAGCCCTTCCTAATCAGGTGAAAACAGTAATGTAAAGTTACATAAATTGAAACTTTGCAAATTTATTCATATGAAGACTCAACCGCATTATGCAATGCTAGATTGCAAAAGACCAGATATAAGACTCATCTTCACATGAAAGTTAATAATATTTTTATCAATTTTTTGTTAGAATAAAATCAACCCAATAAAACAAACCCCAAGCCAAAATTTTTCCAATAACATATCTCATTAACTCAAGCTACTCTAAAAATGAATTCTATGTCATTGTAAAAAGGTTTTGATTATGTCATTGATAATATGTTTACCCAACTTTAATATGACCAAGGCGAGTTAAAATTAAACCCCCTGCTCTTGTAACAAGCATAGCAAACTCCGGGGTGGTAGCTGCATCCCTTACATAAATTATAAAACTAACATGCATCATCTGGTGATTTAGAGTCGTCGTGGCAAGAAGTGATAGGGTAGTCCCAGACCACTTGCCTCTCAGCCACACTGCTCTCAAAGTTCACTGGGAAAATGGATCCCTATTTTTGTGGCCTAGGCATCAATTCAGTGAAGGAAACAGCTCCCTTCAACAAACTACAAAAAACCCACAAAAAACCAAAACAAACCAACAAACCAATGATCAGAAGATTCTAGTATATCTTCACCAGAAAGGATATTAAAGGAGAGGTAAGGAAAAACAAATGGCTTTGCACAGACAGAAAACTTATGCTCCTGTGTAGGTGATGCTTATGGCTGTAACCCTACTATCAAGAGATTATTGAATATTACTGAAACCTCTGTAGATGATTATCAATATATAGCCCTGTGATTTCAAAATGATCTTGGAAAGAGACATGAAATAATCCTTATCACTAATATTTAAGATGGCTTGTCATTCCCTCTTTTCACAAAATTTGCTTCGTAGGTACCATGAAAAAAAAACGCTCAGTGAAAACTGAGCAAATAGCAGTATCAACAAAGGAAAAGAAATAAATTATATCCCACACAATTTTTAGAAAAGAGACAAATAAAATTATACTAAAAACTGCTGTATTGCTTATGACTAGGGGAAAAAATATTTCTGTGAAATGGGTGACCTCTGAGCAGGCAGAAAAATAAAATGTTAGAATTTAAAGTGAATTTGTATAAAAGAATGAATCATGAAAAATCTCCCATGAAAATGAACATCCACTAGGCAGCATTTGCCCACTACATCTACAATTTCAACAGGAAATTGAGCAACTCTACCTCACAACTGTGTTTTGCACTTACTAGTGCAATTAGAGTGAGGATTCTGGCCCTTTGTTAGAGTTGTACAGTGTTGTATTACAAATAAAACTTGTACTGAGTTTATAAAGAATTTTGCTAGATCTCAGGAAAGCTTTAGGAAGAGAATAGCCAAAAACTAAAATAATTTTTAGGAAAAGTTATAGAAAAGGAAAGTGCCTTTTCTACTAGGCAACTACATTTTGTCGTTTTCGTCCTTCTTCCCACTTATATTTGACCACTTAAGTTATTAAAATATCTGCTTATCTGTATGCTTTGGTCAGACTCTAGGCACCTTTTACTTCCTGTTTCTTATTTAGAAAGAAAAAGATGGGAGGGAAAGGAATTAATTTCTCAAGTAATGTGATTCTGTAACAGAAGAAATGTTACTCTGGTAAGTTATAAAACATCAAAATTAATAATGCAAATTCTTGAAATACAGTATTGCTATAAGAAATGCATTGGATTGAAGTTGTAGATAGATATAGACAGATGAATACGGATAGATGATATCAATATAAATATAGATATAGATAGATATTGATATCCATATGATTATAGATAGATATAGATTAGATCTAGATCTAGATCTAGATCTAGATCTAGATCTAGATCTAGATAGATAGATAGATAGATGATATAGATATAGATTATATAGAATAGATATAGATAGATAGATTAGATATAGATAGAGATGCATATGTCACCTGCTGGAATTAATGCTGCATTAATGGAATTTGGGCTAGCATAAAGGATTAAGACCTGCCAAGAGGATTCTTTAATTTTTGTACTTTACTTTCAGGACAACTTCAGCAAACATTTTCCAAGATATAAGAGAAAAAAAGTCATATTTATTGCTTTCTTCCAACACAAGTACATATTCCTCTTCCAGGAAAACCAAGGTTACAATAATTGGGAGGGTTCCTTTACAGACAGTAGGATTTTTTGGATCATATAATTGCAGAATACCTGGAAGTGCAAGTGACCCATAAGATTCATGAAATGCAATTCTAATGCTTTAGGAATGGTTTTCCCCAACTTAGTGTTCACAGTGAAACACTCCAAAACACAGGCAGCTCACTCACCTACCCTTTACCCTCCCCTTCCCTCCACAGCAGGATGGAGAGGAAATTTGGAGGCAAAAGGGGCAAAGATTATGGGCTGGGATAGGAACTGTTTACACACACAGGCATCTGTTACACAAGGGAAGTGAAGAGGGGGCACTCCTCACTTCTGCAGTGGAAAAGTTTTGGGGGTTCCCTGTGGCTCACTGGTAGCAAATCTGAAGAGTGGCTCTGCTGGCAGACCCTCTGCTCTCTGTCATTCAAGTATAAACAAGACAAATCAAACTGCTTTTTGTACAGCAGAAACTAAAAATCAATGATCCAGAGGGAAAGGGTCTGCGTTTGTATGAAGGTTTACAGTCTCATGAAGGTCTATTTGTTCTACTAAATAATTTTCTTCTGGGAAGAAAAAAAGACCCATTTTCACAGCCTTCATCACAACACTAAGTAGAATTTAATACATTCTCTCATACAGAGAAACCCCATTGCCCTTTCCCACCTAATATAGAATATTTTTATTTTCTGCTTGTGAAAAAGATGAATTGCCTTATACAGAAACATGTCACTCGACCAGGTTACTCAGAGCTCCATCCAGCTTGGTCTTGAAGAGCTCCAGGAAAGGGAGACCACAATCTCTCTGGGTAACCTGTTGCAGTGCCCCAGACAACTAGTTTAAATCTGCCCTTCTTCAGCTTAAGGCCATTTCCCCTTGTCTATCCCTACACACCCCTGTGAAAGGTCCCTCTCCAGCCTTATCCTTTTAGGCACTGGAGGGCCTTCTTTGGAGTCTCCTTTTCTCCAGGCTGAACAGTCCCAACTCTCTCAGCCTGTCTTCACTGGGGAGGTGCTTCAGCCCTGGGGAAAACTTAGTGGCTCTTCCCCTGACTTGCTGCAACAGATCCACATCTTCCTTCTGCTGTGGGCCCCAGAGCTAGGTGCAGTGCTCCAGGTGGGGCATCTCAAGAACAGATATTTATTCAGACAAACAAACAAACAAACAACCCCAAAGCAACAACAACAACAAAAATCATGTCCACAAGTTAGAAAAGAAAATTCCTCCAAGTAATGGCTTGGAGAAGTAGTTCTGTATAAGTAAGCATAATTATTCTTACTCATAACTTGAAGACTGTTGTCTTCCATTAATTCTGACACAGCACTGCCTGTCAGAATATTCTCCTTATCATTCATAGATTTTGCTCTTGTTCTCAAAAGTTAATAAATTAAAGGGGACAGGCAATAAAAAATGAGAAGAAAATGTAAACTTTCCAAATTCTAATTAAAAATGTGCTGTGGCTTTTGCATCTGTTTGTTACATTCTATGGAGTGATTATTCCAGTTGAAAATTATTCAGTCCTGATAATAATTTGGCTTTAGGCCCCCTAGTATAGGGGGAATATATATTCCCCATGTATATTCCCCATATATAGGAATCCTGAGACCAAGAAAAAATTACAAACTCATTATTTTACAGACACACAGTTCCATCTATGAGCTACATAAAAATTATCCTATTACAGTCAAGATTAGAAATGTATTTATTTATTTATTACAGTGTACTCAATAGTCTCTGTAAAAACTCTCGCTGTAAAAAGTCTCAATATTAACTCAAAGACTTTAAGCTGCCACTCTTTTTTTTTTTTTTTTTTTTTTTTTTTTGCTTCAGAGAAAGATTTGTACTTTTGGAGATCATGGCCACCCCAACATTGGGAGCAAATTACCTATGAAAAGCATGCTGGTACTAAACATTAGAGACACACTACTTTTATTCTTATTACTTTTAATATATATCTTAAATGATTTTAAATCACAGTCGGAGGATCAGTGATATAAGAAAAACCACTACAAGGAGATTAAGGGATAGTGCATGTATTTTGGGGATGGGGTTTTGAGGTAATATTCTGGGCTAATGGTTAGACTTGATGACCTTAAAGGTCTTTTCCAACCTTAATAATTCTATGAATTCTTAATGAGAAGATACATTACTCAGTAAGCCAAGACCTAAATATACTGAGAGGTTTTAGTGAAGAAATAAACAAGTTGGAAGACTTTAAGAATATTACCAGCAGATCAGCATTCATCAATTTTTTCACTTGATGAATTTTTCTTATAACTTCATTAAAGTCATTATTAGTGTCTTTTGAAGTGTAGTTTCATTTTATCATATTATATTCATTAATGATAGTTTATCTATCATAATTTTCCTGCCAGTACCAACACCAGTGACAAAGCATAAAGGAATGACACACACTAAGAATATGTTGGACATAAATAAATTAAGTTCACAAATTTCTGGTTCCAATACAAAAAATATTTTCAGATTAATTAATGATTTAGTAATTTTTAGTAACTCATGGAGGACAAGATTTCAAAGGATTGAAACAGACCAGATAAAATTCTTACCATTACAAATAGGTAAAAGAGGAAAAAGAAGCCAGGGAGTTTCAGTTTTACTTTCGTTCCTGAAGATTTTTGAAAAAAAAATAATGAAACATAAACTTAACTTGAAATAAAACAGCTAGAGGGAAACAAAAGCATAAATAATATTGTATCCATTTGTTGAAAATAGATTTTCTTTTCTATTATTGTAGAGGAGTATCCCTCACAGACAGACAAGAAAATATAGGTGTTGGTTATTACCTTCATGTCATGGTTTCAGCTAAAATGGAGTTAATTTCTTCTCAGTAGCTGTACAGAGCTGTGTTTTGGATCCAGAATGAGAATGGTGTTGGCACACTAATGGTTTATTTTTTGCTGTTGTGGTTATTCTAAATCAAGGACTGGATAGAAGTTTTTTGTCTCATATTCTGCCAGTGAAGAGGTGTGCAAAACAAACAGTGTCTGGGACAGGTGAGTTGAACTGACCAAAGAGATATTCCAATCACACAATGTCGTGTCCAGTATATAAACTAAAGGGAATTATCCAGAAGCACAGACAGTCTGGGTTTGGAAAGGGGAGTCTGGAACCACGCAGCAGTTGTATTGTACACTTGCTTGATTTTGTCTTTACATTACTATTATTATTATTATTATTATTATTATTATTATTATTATTATTATTATTATTATTATTATTATTATTATTATTATTATTATTTACCATTATTACTGTATTTCACTATTGCTTGAAAATCAAACCATTCTTCGTCCAGCCTACAAATTTAACTTTTGATTTTCCTCCTGATCCCACTGGGGTGGGGGAGTAGAGGAGGACAAAGGGAGCAGCTGCAGGGTGCTTAATTTCCATCTGTTTTTAAACCACAGCAGTTCGAGAACATGAGACCTTTCTAGGAACCTCTATTGACATGAGATCTTTCTAGAAAGAAAGAAAAATCATAGGTATTATGAAACTATAGCAAATAAAATAAAATAAAACAAATAAAACATTCAGACCGACTGGAGATATGTTGCTATCAATGGTGCACTATAAAATGTGAAGGAAAAATTGAATGTCCTGTGGGTGTATGTGTGATATTATTCAATTTTTTTAAATTAATAATGTACTTATTAAATTCATAGATTTCAGAAGGACTACACACACATTGAATTACACAGAATTGAAATAAAAAATTATGAAAAATTGGAAAACATCTGATGGACTTAGACTGATGTGAAGTTTATAGCTGGACAAGAATAATCAGTCCTGCAGCTGACAGGAAGGGAAGATCTGATTAAACAGATTTACTGAAGAAGACACAGAAGTTACAGTAAATTGCAAATTGAACAGCAGGTTAACAGTGATGTGCTGCTTTAAAAAAAAAGCCAAATACCAAAGAAAGATATCTAGAAAGATGAAGAAAATTGGTAGTAAGATGTGTAAAGCAATCTTTCCACTCTACTGAAAAATGGCAGGGTCTCAACAAGAGTCCACCAAATGGAGAGAATCCAGGGAAAAGAAAACTAATGGCAGGGAAGGAAGGAAGGAAGGATTCCAGGAAGGAAGGAAGGAAGATCTGGTTTACAGAAGCAAAAAGAGAAATGTATACATTTCTTAATGAGAATATATTAAAAAAAAACTGTAAGAGGAAAAAGGGAGACCCATCTCTCCTCATTATAGAGACATGAATTAATCGGTTTGGACTGCAATGGATGATTGAAGTTTAGCATCAGGAAAACATTTTGTGATAAAAGATACTAAAGCGCATGACTAAGTGATCTGGAGGATCTGCAATCTTTATCATTCAAATTGCAGAATCCTGCCTTGGATCTGTCTTGCAGAAAAATATGAACGACAGCACCTTTAAATGTCTTTTCCAAAAGGGCTTATTCTGATTCTGTAACAAAATACACATGACAGCTTAATTAACAGATGTATCTTCTAAACAAATGTGTCACTGGAGTTCATCCACTGAAAAGGTATGATGTGCTTTTGTGCACATGGAACAAATGGTGATTTGAGGGGCCTCTGATGGATTTTGGCTGTGAGTCCAAATACATACTTTAGAGTCAAATTCTTTGCCATGAAACAAAGGTTGGCGAGGAACTGATAACCATTCTTAGCAAGATGGTGAAACATGCCTCAAACCATGCATAAAAATGCTTATTGCACACACACAAGAAAAAAATTGGACATATCTTACTTACTGGGATTGTCTTCATCTGTATTTGTCTGTACAAGTTCCTGGGGGGAATAATAGGCAGTGATAAAATGTCTATTCTCTTATTGCTGGATTTGTCAGCCTCCTTACTTTTGACATACCATTGCCTTAGTTGAAAACCCTGCTACAGGTTAACACCATTGCTTTTCAGTAACTTTATTCTTGTCTCTTCACAGGCTTTTGTCCAACGTTTTTTCACTGTGAGTTCCGTATCATTCATGTGAGGATTTACAGGGTATAACCCTGTCCATATCTGAATAAGATGATAATATTTTCAATTTTAAAAAACACCAGAAACAAGGCAAAAAACCAAAACAACCAAAAATGAAGTGCGAAGAAACAGAAAAAATCCCATGTTCGTGGAAATATCCATTTGTCTGGGACACACTGGCTTGCATATTCTTTGTTGTTTACGATTGTTATATCCTTAACAAGCATCTTCTTAAAGGAAGAAACTTTTTTCTAGTAACTAAGTTGTTATGATATAGCAGCAATATAAATATCATTACTTAGCTGGCACAGTGCCTTAAGAGCACCAGTGCCTGCATCAGGACATTGTTTATTAGGCACATATAAAAAGCTGCCTGGTTTCATTAGTCTGTACATTCTTTTAGCACTTTCTACTCAATTAAATATGAAGTGAGCATTCACTTTAGAAATAAAGCTGGGATTAAATTAAAAAATAATCTATACAGTCTATGAACAGAGGAAAAAGGAATATAATTTCCCCAAGTCTCTGACTTCCATATTTGTGAAAGAAAACCTGAAAAGAAGCAGTTAGTTTGTCTTTCACCGGGACTTGCATTAAAATTCCAGTCTTTTTTTTTTACTTTAAGTGTCATGATTTGTGCAGGTCACTGCGTCAAAAAAAAGTCAGATGGGAAACATAAAACACAGATTAGGAGCATTTGCAGAAATAAAAGCCAGGAGAGAACATGGTCAAGTTTGGTATGGCACCAAAATGTGAATTCTTCATCTTCTGCTTCTTCCCTGGCAATTTGCAGTCCCCTGATCTCCCCAGTGAGTAAAACTGAAGCATATTGCTCCCTCCTCCCTCCTCCCAACCAAAACATCAAGAGCAGCATACCATGCAGAGTTGCACTGATCAGTTTTGTACTTCTAAAGATGATATGCTGGAAAAGTACCAAAAAATTTATGAATTCTGTTCAGACTTGACCAGTATACAAAAGGCAGGTGCACTGTGCTACTCCTGCCTGCTGCCAGCAACCTGTATTGTGGGCAGTGTATAAAGAGACATATCTCTGATTCTATTTCTTCCCTCTCTGTATTCAAAGAGGTCAATAAGAACAAGGAAATAAAATGGCCTTAGCTGTGCTTTTCATTTCTGATACAGTTATATATAAATCACAAGGAATAAAATAGCAATTTCTAAACATACTACAGGTGTTGAGGCGGTATCAACAACCATTTCAGGGAGGTATCACAACTTTGCAAGTGTTGAGCCATTATACATCAAAAAGTAATCTAGAAGGTCAAAGGCCCAAAATATTACCTTTATGGTAAATGAACACTACATAAAAAACCTATGCTAACAATGTACAGATCAAATAACACTTTCCAGTCCTGCAAGATCAGTCCTACAACAATGGGGTACCATTATTTAAAATACTACTTTGCAAGTTCTAAGAACCAGAATTTATTAAAACACTGATAGGAGGAAAAATAATGCAGATACATCATTTATGGATATTATTTTACCAGCTCCATTTCTAAGCAACTTTTTGTTATTAAAATGTCTGTAGAGAATAAAACTTCTATTAATTGTTCATAAATGGACACTGAACTGAAGCCACAAATTCTGCAAATAAACTTGATCCAAATATAGCTCAATATACAGTAGAAAATGGGTTTATTCATTATATTTGGCTACTTAGAAGTACTGGGACACACAGAAGTCAAGTTTCTATTTTGCTAACAATCATTGTGCTCTAGCAGCATTGAGAATTCCCTAGTCACAGCCATTTGTGTCAATTTCGTCCAAATGTTTTAAGATACAGAGCTATTATGGCATATCAATTATTAATATTATTATGAGAATCTTATCAGTAATTTTAGGTATGAGGTTTGGAAGGCTGAGTAACTTGGGCACCTCTCCCATGAGGAAAACATTTGAGTTTCCAAGCACCTTATTCTAGTGCTAGTGATTTTTGGTTAGTGTTTTTTGCAATATTATAAAATACCCATGATGTTCCTATTTTTTATCAGGATTTGTACTTCCAAATGTATTTGGTTTCATATATTCTTATGAGATTCATTTCTCCTAGGAAGATGATAGATTCTAGCCCAGGGATAACAATATCAATGCTGTAATAGCAATTTTAGTTTTTATTGCAATATTTGAACAAAAACATATTCCTGATCCCCCCAGTCAATCGAACACAACATCCTCTGTCCTCCCCTCAAATGTAGCAACCCACACACACTCTATCCCTCACTGCTGCTCAGATCTCCCAGTCCCACACCTTACAGCACCTCACAGAGAAAAGCTCAGAGGTCCTGCCCTGCTAAGAAAGATCATCTCAATGGTTCCAGAGTTCTTGCCTGGAGAACTGGATTCTCATCATCTTTGTTAGTCTTTGTGCACATGTCTGTGCACAGGCCAGCGTATTGTTCTGCCAGCATAGGTTCCCTAAAAATGTGCAAGGAGAGGTACAGGTCATCCAGCAGCAGCCCCCTGAAGGTACCTCCTGTGCAGAGACCCTGAACCATTCCCTCATCTCATCCTAACCTGCACCACTCAGGTACCCCTTTTGATGACCCAGAATCACTGGCCAGCCTGTGGACTGCTACTGAGTTCCATTTCCCCATGTCCACGTAAGAACTAAAAGGAAATGGAGATTCATCAGCAAACCACTTACATTTCAAGAGGAAATGCAGCACTGGAATGTTTTGTAATGGTGCTTAGTCCTGTTGTAGCTAATGGAGCAATAAATTCCTAATAATAGATTTTGACTGGTGGCCAAGTAACCAGAAATACTGTTTAGCAAAGGCTAAATGAGAAATTTCATATCAAATAAAACAATAAGTTGTATGGTAATGTACATTATCATTTGCTTACAAAAAGAATATTAAAAATGCAACACCAAGGCTTTCTGAGGAGGGGTAGATGCAAATTAACAACAAGACAAACTTTCATCCTTCACAGCAAGATACTTGTCCTGGAGGACCTTTGCCTTAACATCATTATTCCATGCGCTGCCAAAAGATCATTTCCCCACATCCCCTTTAGTTTCTGCCAGTCAGATGGCACAGTGAGGGTTGGTCACTGCTGCCTCACTGCAGTAACTTACATGGTTTTCTGTCCCCAGAAAAAGCATGGCTGGCTTACCATGAAGGGTTAACGAATCCTGACCCTCACCTGGAGTCAGGGCTGTGGCATGGCCCCAGCGCTCCTCTAAAGTCCAAGCTCCACTAAAGCCAGCAGACTGTGCTGCTCTAGTTTTCAGATGAGGTTCAGGGTACTGGCAGTGTGTTACATTTCTTTTTCAAGTCCCATGATACCTCATGCTGTTGGTTTTTGGTTTGTTTTTTTTTTTCCTTCAAAAAGGCAAGCTTCTAACCTTTCTAATTGTGAGGAAAACTTGAAAGCATATTTCAAGTGCATCTTAAAAGCTCAGAAGCAGGAAGGCTGCATTATGCAATCAATTAAGGAAATAGGCTGACTACAGTTTCAGGGCTTGCGTACAGAATATGGAGCAGAAGCCACTTTTCCAAATGCATTTCCATGTTCTTTTAACAGAGATAAACCAAGGAAATGCCAACATATGGAGGGTGTTTATTGCATATGGAAAGTTTAAAGACATTATTGTGGGTGGTCTTTTGCTTACTTTTTCAATCCTGCCAGTGAAGTTATTTTTCGAAAGAGTTATGTTTGTGGGCCAGATCCTCAGGAGGGTTTAATGACTTCATTTCAGTGAAAAGAGATTAACTACAATTAGGTAGACAGGAAAGCTGTAGGACAAGGTCCTCTGATCTTGCTGCATTGGTAGCTATTTCTGGAACAAGGATAGTGGTGGAAGTGAGACAGTTGAAAATTACTGAGCAAGGCATCATGAAAAAAGATGGCAGCAGAAGGGCCTAAGATGAGCTGTGCATGAACCAGGGATAGTAGTCTATGGCTATTAGTTATGTGGAGAGGAGTCTGCAACTCTGTCTTCCCCTTCCTTCCTGGGGCTTTTCAGGGCAGGCATTTAGGAGAAGAGAAGCTTAGATGCTGAAAGGCTTGTA